GCTATATATGTCATGGTAAGTAAAACAGACCTGTCTTAATGTAGCTTTCTGTCTGGCAGGGAAGACAACATGAATCTAATAGCCACATAAATATGTGAGTACACATTGTGGTAAGTTCTGTCTTTAGAGGAAAACCACAGGCACTCTGAGACATGGAGAAGGAGGATAGAATCTAATCCGAGAGGATCTGGCTTTCTGGGCAAAGGCTCTGGAAGAGAAGTCACTTAGCTCATGTGGAACTGAGAGCAGGCCAGTGATAGGAAGAGTGTTTTGTGAATGAGCAGACTCAGAGGAGAGGATTAACTATCCCACTTCTGAAAAGCCAGGAATAGAAGTAGGTCCTCTGGTGCTCCAGTTTTCTCTTTTCCTCTTCCCACATCTAGGGAGACGTACCCAGAAGCCTGGGCCTATGACATTTGCACAGGTAGTTATTTCCATCCTGAGGAGGGGGTCTGCCCCACCGCCACATGGCCTCCATTCTCTGTGAGCTCAGGGTCTGCTGTCATCCACCTCTCTAGGTCTTCCCCAAGGCCCCTACATTGGTATCTCCATGAACCGAATAAAGTCTTTTAGACTCTTTCCCCCTAGACCACTGCTTCTATTCACTCTACAGGGCTTGTGAAGATCAGTTATGATGGCTAAAATTATGTGCCTGATCAAAATCTAGTTTAGAATAAAGTTGTCTGCATAGTAAGACTTTAACACTAAAGACTGCAACACTAAAAAAATCACTATGCATTTTCAAATGCCTGGAAGGAAATAAATAAAAATAGTAACGATGTCTAGTTGATGGGACCTTAAATGTCTTTTTCCTCTTCACTTCATTTTCTAGATGCTATTTGATATACATTTATATCTTAAAATAGAAATGATATTGAAGTAATAATATTAAGGAAATGTCAGATCTCTTCCTTACTATTTAAAGTCTTGATTTTTCTTTAATTGAAGGAAATATGAGCTATAGAGAAACCCTGGGCAAGGCACAGCATTTCTCAAAGCATTTCTGTAGGGGAAAGATTATCTTGGAGACAGAATTCTGCATCAGTGAGTCTGGGCGATGATGGGTCAACAAGGTTAAGCAGGTTTCTCCACTGTCAGACTTCTTTGAAGTATCACTACCTCTCCAGTTTGTGAACCCAGGAAGGGGAAGGAGCAGGCAGCACTTCCTAAACTTCTGGGAAGGTATTTGTCCAGATCCTTGCAGGTTCAGTGTTCCCTGGGACATGTACTGGAAAATGCTGTAGTGGTGAAAGGACAAAATATGGTGGCTATATGGGTCTGTTAAGGCATTAATGGTCAGTACCTGTTAGGCAAGTCCTTGCATAGCTCTGGACACAGTTTCTTGTCAATAAAATAAAATTAGATGGAACAAACATATAGCTCTTAAATGGACCAAGTGTGGAAAATGAGTGGCTATGCTGATAATTTTGTAACAATCAGAGGCAAAGTTCTGAAATGTTTAAACTGAGAACTGTCAATCAAGCGTTATCAACCCCACAAGCAGCAAACAATGTCAGTTTTTCATTCTGCAAACCATGTTGGAAAACAAAAATATTTGGCACATTTTAGCAGGTTAGCATTCCTGTCTGTTGTAGATACAAGGTAAAATGTCCTTAATTCCTGCGCTGAAAAGTATGCTCTACCCTCTTCTCAAACACTTGCCCAACGAAAAGGAGTAAAAGCTTTCATTTCTCAACCACCCGCACTGTGTAAGGCCTTGGAGAAACAACCCGATAGAAGCAGGCTGGTTCCTTTGTTCTACTGGAAGAGTGGCTTTCATGCCAACAAAGTCAGACAGAATGTCCTGATTCCAGATAAAGGCTGCTTGCTGCTGCTGCCTCGCTAACTTTTATCATATGCTGTTGTGGTCGGAACATTTTCTGGCAGGAAGAACTCAAGGACCTTGCTGCGGAATAAACTAATTTTGTCCTGAGTAACCCCTGGCCCTCTTTTTCCATCCCAGGAGGTTTCTCACAGATCTGAAGGCCCCAGGCAAATCAGTCAGACCCCTCTCAGCCCACAAAGGCCAATTCTTGGTTTCCTCTCACTGCAAGCCTCGCTGCAGAGGAGCCTATCCAGCTTGTTTCCTTGCCATATCCCAAGCAAGAACTACATAGGCCCTTTCTTTATAAGGGCATAATGCTAATTACCACAGGGAACCCTCCACTATGTGGAATAAGATAGAGAACACTATGGAGGTCATGGTGGTCAAGGAGCCTCACACGAATGGATATTATACCCCCAGGTCTGGGGTTAAATAGAGTAAAACTTGACACCTCAATAGACTCTATTATTAGCTATTCCCAATGGTGTAGGGAGGCCTCTTGAGTCCTCATTATTGTCTTTTTTTTTTCTCCCTGTAAGCTCTTAAGTTCTTAGCGTGTGCGTGCGCGTGCGTGTGTGGGTGTGTGTGTGTGGTGCACTGGGCAGGAGGGGGAGGTGGGGAGGGTATCCCTCAGCCCAGCCTGTACCCTCTCCAATCTGGGACTCCTCAGAAGATGTTGACTGCTGGTTTAGGCCTGATCCCACAAACCAGCAGTCAGACATCCCTCTCACAATCCAGAAATGCTGGATCCTAATCACTTGCCTGCCTGCCTGGCTACCTGGTTGCTCCTAACTGCTCCCCTGCCAGCCTGATTAACACCTAACTGCTCCTCTGCTGGCCCAATCATGCCCAACTGCCCTCCCCTGCCAGTCTGATCATCCCCAACTGCCCTCCCCTGCAGGCTGTCCCCCCCAACTGCCCTTCCCTGCAAGCCTAGTCTCCCTCACCTGCCCTCACATGCTAGACATCTTATGACAATGTGGGGGCGACCATCTTGTGATGACATGGGGGTAACCATCTTGTGGTGGCCATTTTGTGATGACATGGGGCGACCATCTTGTGATGTGAGGGTTAATTTGCATATTACCTATTATATAGGATATACATATATAAACTACTGAATTAAGCTTCCCTTTTTTTGTCACCTGGATACCTCAGAGATTTGGAGTTTATTGGCAAGCACAAGGAAATATGTACTTATATAGAACAAAAATTGCCAACCTTAATATTTAAAGAACTTCCTATGAAAGCCATTTATATATTTATAAACTTGAAAGAATGACATCCAACACATGAAATTTTAAAGAGAAAGGGAAATTGAGATACTACAAGGTAGTTTACAACTGTCATAATACCATTCTCAGCATGAATTAATGTTACCAGAAAAAAAGAGACCAAAGAGGGTTTGCCTCGGGCCAGCCAGTAGTGTGTGGATTCTTGACTTCATGCAGGAAAGATTTCACAACACAAATCCAGATGAATTTTAGAGGATGTTTATTAAAGTTGGGGAAAGTGAGACAAGGAAAGACTTAGGAGAGAAGAAGCAACAGGAGAGCCTAGGTGGGGCTGCTTTGGCTCCTTAAAAGGTTATGGGAAAGAAGTGAGCCAAGGCGGGGCTGCTGTCAGCTCACTGGAGAGTCAGAGAAAAGGGGGCCTTGTAGATAGTTAGGGGGTTAGCCCCAGATGAGCTACCGATACCCCATTGTTCCCCTGGTTGTAAGTTTCATGGGAATTCTTAGAGTTTAGGAGAGGGAAGGTGTGGGTGTATTCCTGGGAGGGAGAATACCTAGGGGGACCACCACACTTGGAGGTCCACAACTTAAAGGAGCAGCATGTGATGAGAGTAGTTGACTCACACTTTAGAAGCATGTCCTCTGTTTCTCTCCCCATTTATTTTCCTCTCCAGTATAGAGATAAGTGAAAAGTACACATGCCCCTCACAAGACTGTGGCAGACATTATTATTCAGTGTTGGCATTTATTTTCCCCTGACTAAACCCAGGGATGTAACCAAAGGTGAATATAAATTGATCAAAATGGGCATTCTTCAGTCTACTCCTGGGTGAACATCCCAGAGAAATGAGAGGTCATGTACACAAAATGAAATGTACAAGAATGTTCCTGGCAGCTTTATTTCCAATAGTCCTAACCTGGAAACAACCCAAATGTCTATGAACAGTAGAGTGCAGGAAAATACAATATATAAAATACTCTATGGAAATGAAAAGGGACAAACTACTGATATAGTTTGAATGCATCTGAGAGAGACAGTGTAGTGTAAACAGGCAGAAAGGAGGCACACTATGTCTTCCATTTACTGCAGCTCAGAAAACAGGCAAAACTCATCCATGGTGACAAAAGTCAAGACAGTGGTCACCATGGGGGAAACTGACTGAGAGGGGCACCTTGGTGCTGATTTACATAGATGTGCACATACAAAAATTCATTGGGATGCTCAGCTAAGATTTGCATATTTTGCTATAAAAGTTCTATTTCATAAAAGTTCTTAAAAGGGGCACCAATCTGAAAACTACTGTCCAGCCCTTATTCCTATATTTCTCTGAAAAAGGAGCATAAGTTTGTTGTTTTTTTACTGTGATTCCAATCCAATTCCAATTTCTGGATATATTTATAATAAAAAGTAAGCAAATGTAGTATTTTCCATGTCTCTCTTCCAAAGCCCAGACCATGTACCAGACCAATTAAATTCCATATTTGGGCTATGGAACACAGGCAGCAGTGGTATTTGAAGCTCTCTAGGTGATTCTAATAACTTTGCTATGCATACAAGTTTGGGAACTATTAAACCAATGGCCTTCTATTCCCTGCATACTGTCTCACCACTTCAGCATATGGTTTGGAATCTTGGCTGTTCATGAAAACTGCCCCAGAAACTTCCAAACAATACTAATGCTCAGGCTCAGCCCTGGGTAAGTCGTGATGGCCACTGTGCTGGGGTGACTGGAGTTCTGGTAGATCTTGTGAGCAGGACAATTCCAGGCAACACCCCCCACTCCGTGTTCCTCTTGAATTACAATACTTTCTCCTCATGTTTTTGAAAATTCCTGTCTTGGTCATTTTTTTGTTTGTTTGTTTTTGTTTTTGTTTCTGTTGCAAGCTGAATGTGGAGAAGAACAATGTAATGCTGATAAGTTCTTGGTTTGTTTTGCCCTCAGTATGGGATTGTGCTGGACGGAGGCTCTTCGCACACGACTTTGTACATCTATATGTGGCCGGCAGAAAAGGAGAATGACACAGGGGTGGTGACGCAGATAGGAGACTGCTTGGTACAAGGTAAGATGAAGAAAAAGGGGAGGGGGGACCACGAGACACGAGATGCATGTGGCAAGTGGAACACTTGAAGAAAAGCAAGTCCAGTGAAGAGTACAGCAGAGCTACTGCTGTTATGCCATTGTCATTAACATAATACTGAAATCAGCCCTAATGACTGAGCCCTTGACACATAAACAGACTTAATAAATAACTGAGTAAAGACAAGTACCACATGATCTCACTCATATGTGGAATAAAATAAGCTGATGGACAAAACAGGTCCAGAGACATAGAAGCATAGAACTGTGAATCTCAGAGGGAAGGGGGAGGGAAGGTGAGTGGGTGAGAAAAGATCAACTAAAGAACTTTTATGCAAGCAAGGAACTTGTAGATACAGACAGTAGGGTGGTGCAGGCCTGGGCAGGGCTGAGGGATAGGGGTGGCTAGAAGGGTTCAATGGGGAAGGGGAGGTGGGGGGAAAGAAGACACATGTAATACTTTCAACAAAAAAGATTTAATTAAGAAAATAACTGTGCAATAGTCCCTCCCATCAATTAGACACTTCTGTGTGCCATGCACCAATATAAGTACTAAAAGTATTATTTCATCTTCATGATCTCCCTGTGAAGCATGTATTTTTATCCTCATTTTTAAAACAAGGGCACTGAGGTTGTGCAATACTGTGCCACGTGTTTAAGGTTGCTTGAGCTAGTAAGTAATGGAACTGGGATTCATATGGAGATTCTACCAACTAAAAAACCCATGTCTTAATCAGTGGTTCTCAAATTTGAACCACCTGTAGGGTTTGTTAAAGCACAGAAGCTGGGTCCCACCTATTCTTGAAGGCCAGACTTTTTGAATTAAAACAATAGATGATAATTTGGAGCTGGTTTTCTGATGATGGCTAAGTAACCGGGCTTTTTATAAACCTGAAAATTAGATATGGATAACATATCTGGATACTTATCTTTAAACCAAATCTTAAAATCACTATAAAGCACTGACAGGGTGCATGTTATCTTAAAGTGAACTGAAATTGTTCACTTCAAAAAGCTTACAAAATCTTGGCTCTCATCCTCTCCATAGCAATAATTAGTTTTTCCCTACAACTGAAAAAACAGTATTTCTAGGGAGGCATGGAATCAGTGGAAAAATCACTAAGGAAACATGGATGCTATTCCTGTTTATTCTAATTAGATTCCGTAGCTAATTAGTAGCAGTTCCTATCTTTTCAATGAAAGCCAATGTGCCTGGTGCTTATTTTAAGTTTTGTTTTATATGTCATTATTATCCCTTTAGATCTTCTAGAATTAGTGTTGTTAATTACAATGTCATGGAAGAAACTTGAAAAAAATGGCTACATAAAGTAACTATCTGTAAGATTCCCATTAGAATCTGAACCTGTTAGGAAGGTAATGTAATTAAATGTGAAAGTTGCGCCATCCAGTGGCAAAATTATTGAACAGCAGACAGACCCAGTGCGAGGTTGGTTCAGTGAGTTACCTTCTAAGCAGAGCAATATCACATCAAGAAATTGTCTTATTGAATTTAATCAGAAAACACTAGTATTTTTCTCTAATACTTTCAAGGTATGTTCTATACTTTAAAAATATATTATCATCTGCTTCTACATCTTTTCCTAGGTCCTGGAATCTCAAAATTTGCTCATAAAACACGGGAGTTAAAAACTTATCTGCATGCCTGCATGCAAAAAGCCAAGAAAATAATTCCACTTGCCCAGCACAGACAGACACCTGTTTACCTGGGAGCTACAGCAGGCATGCGGTTGCTCAGGTATGGCAATACATAGGGACCAAGCGCAGCTGGGAATTAGGTTTGGCAGTGCAAGGAGCCTCTGAAGTTATGGGAGAGGGCCACATTTCCCTAATGTCCAAAATTCTAAATATCCTGACTCTCAGTGAGTGGATAAAACTCCCAAATTCTTAATATGTGTAAACTTGGAAGTTTAAGTATATTTAAAAAAATCCCTCTTGCCCTTCCCTTCACCCCTCCCCCCCAAGGAAATTCAAGAGGGTAAGGACACAGAGAAAAATATTGAGCCTATATATACTCTGAGATTGGGGCTACAGATTTAGCCATTCAATCTCTGTGAGGGGGAAGACCAAGAGAGTTGCAGGTGTCCCAAATAATCACAACTAGCACATCTTTATGCATTGGTGTGCATTATTTGTTCGTTTATTCATTAAAGCAGCATATATTGACTGCCTACTAGGTCCCAGGATATGGAATTAGGGGACTTCAGCCCTTCAGGAGATCAGAGTTTCAATACAGGGTCATCAGTTTTTTAATAGAAGGCTCCTCAAAGCTGCTACAGGAGCACACTTTACTCTGCCCAGAATGGGAGCGGGGCAGGAAAATTTATCAGAGGAGGGGACATGTGAGCTAAACCTTGAAGGATAAGTTGGAGGGTGGGGTAAGGGCACCACAGACAGAGCAGACATCATGTATTCCTTAACCTATGCTCATTTGGCACCTATTATGTGACAGGCACAGTTCTGGGGATTCAGTGAAGAGGAAAGAATCCTTGCCTTCCTAGTGCTTGTACACTAATAGATGTGCAAAGGCAGACATATATGAGAGACCAGGACATGTTCCAAAGACTATAAAGAGATAGGACATATGGTACAGACAGTAAAGTAATAATAATAGTAGTGAGAATGTTAGCGGCTTGTGTTTGTTGTGCTCATGTTCTTATTACTGTGCTTTAATGATAACTCTATATAGTAAGAGGTATTATTAACTACTAGAAGCCTGGTGCACAACATTCGTGCACTGGGGGCAGGTCCCTCAGCCTGGCCTGCGCCCTCTCGCAGTCTGGAACCCCTTGGGGGATGTCCGATTGCCGCAGAAGTGGGAGAGGCTTCCGCCTCTGAGGCAGTGCTAAGAAGTAGAGAGCCTGGCTTCTGGCTGAGCGGTGCTCCCCCATAGGAGTGCACTGACTACCAGGGGGAAGCTCCCTGTGTGAATGTGTGTGTCATAGCCATCAGTCATTCCTTCCTTCGGTCGATTTGCATATTAAGGTTTTATTATATAGGATTATTAACCAGATAAGGAAGCTGCGACTTATAAATGTTAAATAAGTTACCCAGAGTCATACCTGGTAAATGGTAGTCAGGATTCTGAATGGAATTCTGAGAAAATAGGGTCCAGATCACATAGTGCCTTGTAAGGCAGGCTAGGGAGTTTGGAGTTTATTTGAGAGATAATGGGAAGCCATTAAATGATGTTACAAAACTGGTGCCACTGGCAGAGAAGGTGGGTTGGAGGGAAGAAAACTAGGGATAAGGGAGCCAGATAGTAGAGTATGGAAGTCACACAGGTCAGAGATTACAGGAGTCTAATGCCAGCTGGAAGGCAGCATCATCTGACCCAGAGGCTCTCAATGTTGAGTAGTAAACATCTTAGAAGCAACTGCATTCCATCTTCATTATGACAATCCTGGAAGAACCCTCCTTTAGGTCTCAAACAGACCCAAGAACTGAGACACAATATGAGGAAGATTCTCCCCCTTTCCCCCAGTGTGGCACCAATGGGGGTTGGGTGTCTGTCCCAGGACATTTGCCACCCAGTGTCTACTACAGTCCTAATTAAGAACCTCAAGCAGGACCTGGTATGTGACCAGCTAGGAGCTACCAGCGATGGCTAACATGGCATACTGGCTCTATGAGTGGTGATCAAACAATACCCAGCTACCACCACCACAATAATTAAAATTACTTTGTTAAGTTTTTGGAGCCAGGAAACAACAAAAGTGGTATTTTAAGAAGATGAACCTATTCAGTGATTGGAAGGATTTGGATTTGGAGAGGGGGGCTAAAAGATCTGCTTCTCCCAAAGGAGGCCCCTCAGGCAACCATGTGTTGGTATTTCCATCTCTCTGTTTATTCCAGTAAGTGATCATTCACTTCCGGGGAGAAGTGACTAGAAGCTGTGGCTGAGATGGGTAGTTGCAATTATTAAAACAAAACATGTAAGCTCAGCTCTTCCTTTGCATAGACTTGAAAATGAAAACCTGGCAGATGAAGTCCTGAAGGAGTTGACAGAGGTTCTCAGAAGCTTCCCCTTTGACTTCCAGGGTGCCAGAATCATCTCTGGCAAAGAGGAAGGTGCCTATGGTTGGATTACTATCAACTACCTGCTGGGGAAATTCACTAAGGTGAGTGGCTCCCTGGGGGCCAATGCCATTGCTCTCTCAGGCAGTACTTGGATTGTCTGTCAGAATAAATGATGGATGAATTGGACAAATTAATTTACCCCCATATTTACAAGGGTCACCAGAGATAGAATTCTCTTAGAAGAACTTTTACTATTGGAGAATAAAGAAGCCATAACTTCAGAGTGAGACATAAAAGTCTATCATTAAAAAGAATAGCTAATATTTGCCTAGTACTTATGTGTCTTCTTCAGAACAACCATATGAGGTATTCTCTCATTTTAGAGCCCCAAATAGAGGCCTAGAAAAGGGTAATTATGCTGCTCAAGGTTACATGGCTAATGAGCAAATATGTGAGGATATGAATTTGAGTCTTTCTAGCCCCAAATCCCTCATTCCTGATTCTGACTGTACTGCTCCGATACTATTGCATTCTGAGCTATATCTTTGAAACCCCTCTTTTCTTGCTTGATCTGATGTGGATTCAGGAATCTCCAGGGAGCTTTGTGTCACCCTTAGGCCCCTGCTCTTTTACATTAGGAAGTTCTTGAGTCTGAGGAATAATGTGAAAAAGTAGGTATCCAGAGATTTCTACCACTGGTAACTGTACTCTCCTTCAGAAAATGAGATGGCTCTACCCGCTGGGAAATGAAACCAATAATGAGGAAACCTATGGAGCTCTGGACCTTGGGGGAGCCTCTACACAAATCACTTTTGAGCCCCAAAACCAGACAATTGAGTCTCCAACGAATGCTCTGTACTTTCGTCTGTATGGCAAGGACTACAATGTGTACACACACAGCTTCTTGTGCTACGGGAAGGATCAAGCACTCTTGAAGAAACTAATCAAGGACAGTGAGGCAAGTATAACTGAATCCAGACCTGACTTTTCCACATCTGGGCTGCCAGCCTCCACATCCTGTTGTTTTCTCTTCTACTTCAATGATTGATCTGAAGTTGGTTACTGTAATTTCCAAACCTTTCTAAGTACATCTGGTCGACCCATAAGAATCATTCCCTCCAGACATCACCCTCCTTTATTTGTTTACTGCACTATCTCCAAGGACACGACTCAGATCCTTTCTTGGGAAATAATTTCTCAGCCCTGTGGGATTGACAATAAAAATTACACACTAGGGCATTATAATAAGGGAGGTTGTGAGCAGTTTATAACCTCTTTCCCACTTTTTAATCTCTATTTCCTACAAATTGCAGAAAACAGGGTTGTTAGAAACAACCTGGAGAGGAGGAGAAAAAATGCTCAGGGAAAACACAAAGTTAATGGATCAACACTTTATATCTTGTCCCCAGACGCTTTCTGCATTTTGAAGACAAGAAAGTTAAACATACTTGCAATTATGCGAGTACCAGGCACACCCTGATAAACAAACACAGACCAAGGATGTCACATCCAGCTGTTCCCTGTCTCCACTAAAAGGATAACAGTTCTCTGTTCTCCTCCAAAGCATGCTCTTTGGTTCTCAGAAGCACTATCCAACAGATGACTTCCACAGGCGTGGGGGCTGAGAGATGCCTACTGAGCATAGGCCTCATAAAGCCTCTGATCCACAGTAGTCACCTTTCTTCTCTTGAACATATTGGGTTGTGGGTTAAAGACCATTTTGATTCTACTGGCAAATAATTTGAGGCACTTTCAGGTCTTACAGCTTCTAGGTTTTTTTTTTTTTTTTAATTTATATATTTTTTTTGCTTGGAGGTGGGGGCCAACTCCTGGAGAAATACCCAGGCTCAGAATTTTGAGAGTCTATGTAGTTTCCCAATGTTCCTAACACTGACTGTACTGTTTCGATACTGCTGCAGTTTCAGACTATGTCTTTGAAGCCCCTCTTTTCTTGCTGTTGATCTGATGTGGACCCAGGAACCTTGAGAGAAAATCATTTCTGATCTATGTGGTTAGAACTGAGGAACATTCCAAAGCAATGGCATTTTTGGGCAGATTCTATTTGCTTTCTATGAATAGAGAAAGTTTATTTATATCTGATGCTACTTCTGGTGAGTGTGGTACAAATCTGGCTATTCCCAAGACTGAAAAAGCCAGACAGAGGCATTCTGCAGCCAATGCCGAGTGCTGGGATATTGTATAATTCTTACACATTAATGAAATCAGACAGGTGCTTTTGTACCCAAAGCTTTGCATATGACCTCTTCAAGTGATTTTTTTCCATTCAGGTTTCAAAAGAAAACATCAATGACCCATGTTTCAACCTTGGATACAGCAGGAAAATGAACACAAGTGACCTTATCAACAACCCCTGCAACAAGGAAAATAAACCGACTCTTCCATTCCCCCAGTTGCAAATCCACGGCACTGGAAACTATCAGGAATGCCAGAAAAGTATCCTTAGGCTCTTCGACACCAGTGACTGCCCTTATTCCCACTGTGCCTTTGATAAAGTTTTCTTGCCACAACCTAAAGGACATTTTGGGGTAAGTTTGTGAAATGATAAAATATATTGGTTAGGATGATTTTGGCTGCAAGTTATAGAATATGTGACTACAAAGAATTTAAATAATAGGATTTATTTTTCTCTCACATGATATAATCATTGAGGTAGAAAATTCAGGATTAGTTCTTTGGCTTGATAATATGATGACTCTGGACCAGCTTTTTTATGATCTTCTAGTGATGTTAAGATGGCAGCTATTGCTCTCAGCATTATGTCTTCACAAGCAAAGCCAAAGAAGGAAGTTTCTCTTGCATACATCTTCAGTTTTGCAAAAACGCCAACAAACATCATTACAGACACCACTGGCCAGAATTTAGTGAAATTCACACCTCTTAACCAACCTATGATAAAGGGGAATGGGTTACGATGGTTTGTTTAGACTAGGGTGGGAACATTATTTGGTCTGGCCCTGTTAAGGCATTAGGGGTAAGTTAATTAACACATTAAGCGTCATGTCAGTCACCGGTGACTGAAATGGAAAGGAAGACAAAACAGGTTTGGCACTTAACATGCTAAATATTTAACCAAATATAGCAGGCTAATTTTTAAGTTGATAATTTTGTATGTCCCATGAATGATATTATAAATATCCAAATGGCCCTTGGCAGAAAAAAAGGTTCACAACCCATGCTCTATAAAGACATTTAGGAGGTAAAAACTAAAAAACCCCAAGGAAATACTGAAGATACTAATTTTCATTACATTTTGAAAACTTAGGGGACTATTTGAATCCCAACTCCAAGTTCCTTCTTTTCTTAATCACTTCAAAATAAGATAATATATTTGAGCAGAGGTAGGAGTGGTGCCCTTTGATCTACACATTACTCAAATTTCAGATTTTATTCCTGGAGCCCAAGAATTACTGTAATCATAGTATAGTAGTACAGTATATTGCAAAATTAGCTGCCATTAATGGAATGCCAATTACTGACTAAGCACTATATACACATTATCTCACTCATACTTAAGATATCATTCAAAGAAGAGCTTTTGTCTGCTTTTACACCTTTTCTCCCTTTTTCAGAAAACAGATCAGCATGTGAGAAGGGAGGTTTAACTCTCCTCTAAGACTCCAGTAGGAGAATTTCTCCCAAGGTCTCTTGGCCCAGCCAAACGTCACAGAAAGAGCTCCTTGGGAAGAGCACAGGCCCTGTAATAATCACACCTAGGTTAATCCTGGCTTTGCCACTTGTGAACTTGGTGAATTCTGGGAAAATGACAATGGGCAACGTAATCTGTGCTTACCTTAACCATGGCCCAGACCACAGCTTCCCCTCTCCTCAAGTTTCCTGAGGGAAATACATGACAGAATAATGATTGACACAGTAAAACTTGGTTATGAGCTGGTCCAAACCCAAATTTAAAACAAACCAGAACCTCACCTGGATGTCTATAGCTGAGCTGGCACTGGACGCTCATGTTGGGCTTTTTTTTTAGGCCAAGGCCTCTGCCTTGGATCCAACTACTAGAAGAGAAAGGAAGGTACCACAAAGGGGAAGAAGGTGGCCAGGAATGCTGGGGACAGCCAAGGGCTCTTTCCATTCCAGTTACTGCTAGAAAGCACATCTGAAGGGAAAGGAATATATTCTTGTGGGTTGATCTTTAAACTTGCCTGAAAACTTTGCCTCCTGGGAAACATGGCCCAATTCTTGCCTTCAAGCTTGAGCAAATGCTTCCTACAGGGGTGGGATGGGAGAGAGTAGAGGGTGGGTAGATGGGATAGTGGTGTTGGAATTTCCTGCCTTTAAATGTGATGTCTCCAACCAAGATAGACGACTTGGAGTTGGAAAAGGGTGGAAGAGCCTTGAATTCCCTCTGGAGGGCTTTTTGATTTGACCCTTTGACCCTCATTGGCACTGTCCTCCTCACAGCCTTCTGTACCTTAATTTGGCAATCTTCTCAGAATAGGGTCTTTCTTCTCTGAATATAACCCCCTAGGATCAGTACTGTACCTGTACCTATTCCTGTCTTGGCAGTTTCTTTCTGTATTTGGATTTTTAAAATTGATTTCACCTAGAGGAAGAGAGAAGGAGAGGGATAGAAACATCAATGCTGAGAGAGAATCCAGTGCCTCCTGCATGTCCCCTTCTAAGAGTTGAGCTCACAAGCCGGACATGTGCCCTGACTGAGAATCGAACTGTGATCTCCTGGTTCATGGGTTGATGCTCAACCACTGAACCATACTGGCCAGACTGGATTTAAAAAATATATATATTTTATTGATTTTTCACAGAGAGGAAGGGAGAGAGATAGAGAGCCAGAAACGTCAATGAGAGAGAAACATTGACCAGCTGCCTCCTGCACACACCCCAACAGATGTGCCCGCAACCAATGCACATGCCCCTGATCAGAATCGAACCTGGGACCCTTCAATCTGCAGACCAATGCTCTACTACTGAGCCAAACCGGTTTCGGCCAGGCTGGATTTTTTAAATCCTCACCTGAGGATAAGTTTTTCATTGATTCTAGAGATTGAGGAAGGTAGAGGACAAGAGAAAGATAAATATCTATGTAAGTCAGAAATATTGGTTGCCTCATGCACACACCCCAACAGGAAGAAAACCATAACCCAGGCATGTGCCCTGACTGGGAATTGAACCCAGACCTTTCGGAGCATGAGACAATGCTCTAACCATTGAGATACACTGGTCAGAGCACTATTTTTGGATATTTTTTGGTGCCCTCTGTAAATTCTCTCTAAATCCGAAAGATTTAAAAAATATGTTGCCTTGTTTATAAAATGAGGACAGGAATACCTATCTCATTGCTAATTGTAAGTGACAACTGAGGTGGACTGATGAATGTTTTACCACCAGCTCTCTGGGGATAGAGGGGCTGATTGATTTGTAGCATTTCCAATTTGTATGGTATAAATACTCCCACCATGGCCTATTTAAAACATTTTTTAATTGACTTCAGAGAGAAAGGTAGAGGGAGAGGGGGTGAGAAACATCAATGATGAGAATCATTGATTAGTTACCTCCTGCACGCCCTCCTCTCTGGGGATCGAGTTAGAAACCTGGGCATGTTCCCTGACCCGGAATCGAACTGTGACCTCCTGGTTCATGGGTGGATCCTCAACTATTGAGACATACTGGCTGGGTGACCATGACCTATTTTAGACTATCAACATGACATCAACTAGCTCACAGAACTCCTGAAATTTTAACAAATAGCTCTCATTAGTAGGTAAGAGCCAGCTCTACCTTATCACTGCAAATAGTGAAAACCTAACATACTAGGTGGGCCCTTAAACAAGTTAGTTCTTTCTCCTAACAGACTTCATTCTAGGCCTTCATTCCTGCAGGAAGTTACCATTGCAAAGTCCTGCATCTTGAAGCATAATTATTTGTAATACGAAAATTTAGTTGTATTTTAATTATTTCCAAAACCAGTTAGCCTGGGTATTCTCTAGCCACAGAGAATTTTCAGAGGAGCTAATTTCTGCCACAGTTGCATTTAGCAATGATGATCTAATTTTTAGTTTGTAAACTAAGTATTAAGAATGATCAGTACACTTTTCAGTTTGGCTACACTGTCACCTTGGTTGCAAAACAGAATCCAAATTGTAGGCAAATAAGAAATACCAAAAAAGGAAGAGGAAACATCTGTGAGGAATTACTTATGTAATTTAGGAATTTTCAAAAACATCACATTATATCATGTAAATAAAAAAGGGTATAAACAAATTCAATAGGGAATAGAAACCGAAGAACATTATATGTTGTTTGTTTACATATGTATACATACCAGGTGTGTATTTGCATGTATTTGTGTATGTTTATTTAAAATATATTTTATTGATTTTATTACAGAGAGGAAGGTAGAGGGATAGAGTGAGAAACATCGATGAGAGAGAAACATTGATCAGCTGTCTCCTGCACATCCCCCACCGGGGATGTGCCTGCAACCAAGGTACATGCCCTTGACCAGAATTGAACCTGGGACCCTTCAGTCTGCAGGTCGATGCTCTAATCACTGAGCAAAACCGGTTTCGGCTATTTGTGTATATTTAGATCTGAGCTTCCTAGTAGCCAAGGGGAAAAATAAGACATAGTCAGATAGATAATTTTCGTTATACCCAGCAAACCCAGTCCTAGGTCCAAGCACAGCTTTATAGCAACTTTAACCCAGAGACATAGTTTTAAAAATCTGACTCAGTGATAGCAATTCTGTGATGGACTGAGGCAATATAGATTTTTGATACTCATGTTGAGAGAAGAAAAGAATTTATAGTAGCTAGAAGAGGGGACAGATATATATTCTTCAAATCACTTTCCATAAATACTGATTATCTAAGCTAGTAAATAGCCTTTTGAGGCTGTTCTCTTAAGATGTCCTAGAGTGTTCCTATTCTGAGTTTCTGCTTAAATACAGACCCATAGGTTATAGACACCAATCAAGTAAAGGTTTACAAAGTAAAGTTGATTCCTAATATGGAAATCAGGGAGCTGATCACAGAGTTTGACCTCAATGGGAGGGCATCCCAACTGCACTTAAAGGAGAAGTTGGGAATTCCTAGACCCCTGTCAGCATTTTCTGGGAAAAGAACATCTGATGGATTGAATCTCCAAAATCCTACCCCAAAAGTAGGTTAAGGATGTTTTTTTTCTTAAAGACGTTTGAAGAAATCACCTACCAGAGTCATAGGAAGAAACTTGAACCATCTGATGTGTCTTCGAACCATCTGATTTCAAGCAGTGTATTTTTCTGAGGTATTAAAAGAAGAAGGTGGCCGAAACCGGTTTGGCTCAGTGGATAGAGTGACGGCCTGCGGACTGAAAGGTCCCAGGTTCGATTCCGGTCAAGGGCATGTACCTTGGTTGCGGGCACATTTCCAGTAGGGGGTGTATAAGAGGCAGCTGATTGATGTTTCTCTCTCATCAATGTTTCTAACTCTCTATCCCTCTCTCTTCCTCTCTGTAAAAAATAAATAAAATATATTTTTTTTTAAAAAGAAGAAGAAGGTGGTTTTTGTCA